AAAAATTGGCCAATTTTTTGCCTTCTAGTTTTCTTAATCCCCATAAATCTGCTTCCTGAATGTCTATAGAAAAGTGTCATATTTTTTTCTAATTCTCACTTACTAAATGAACAATATGTGGAGGTTTTTTTTGCCAAATACTCTTTTTCAACACAAACATGGGAAGAAAAATACAAATTTGAGATTATAAAAAATTTAATTTAACTAAGTTTGGGAAACGGCAACAAACAACGGAGAAGAAAAATATGAATCAGAGAATATTGGAGACTCCGGAGAATGAAAATAATTCAAATAAAAACACAGGAAGAAAAGATGAATCTGATAAGCTAAATATTAAAACTATTGGTTTTTAAAAAGAGTTGAATTGAATTAAGTTCTGGAAATGGCAACAGACAAATGAATTAAAGAATTGGCGCATTGTGGTAGCTATAGAAGTAATTAAGATAATGGAAATACTTGACTGGTACATTGAGGCCTCTGTGAATCATGAGGGGACCTTAGAATTCCGCAGCTCCAGTGGGTATTTTATGCTAGTAATAAATATGGGCGAATTATTTTCTTGAAACGTAGATATTTTGTAATAGGCGATTATGTATCTCGCAAATTTTAAGAATTTTTAAAATTACTTTCAATTACATCTGTAATGTTAACACATTATATAACTCAAACAAAACACTTTAATGAATCTAAGTTTCAAATGGACAGCAACTGCCTGTTGTAGAAACCTACAAATGTAGAGGACGACATTTCGAAAATCTTCCGCCATTATATTTTTAACATAATGATTTGTAATATATATATATATGTGTGTGTGTCTATACAACATATATTTAAAACATTAGTCACTTGTATCGTTCTTTAACAACTCATGCATGACATCTTCGAATCTTCAAACATCAGATATGTTTTTGTTGTGTTTTCGTGAACTATGCAAAACACTTATAGAATATTGCAATATAATTGAGTTATGAATACATTAACACGTCGTCTGTAATTAACTGTTTTAATTACTTTGTTTTTCAGCAAAGTTACCGACATATGAAAGGAAGTATTTAAAAGCCATAAAACAGCCACAACCTGAAATTTTTTACTGCGATGACTGTGAATCAGGTGAAACCGTTAACAAACTACTTGTGGAGCCTGTTATGATCACGACAAAAGGCTCTTCACTAACATGTAGACCTATATATTAACATGTTAACAATGGAAGTCATTAGTATTTTCGTTGAAAGAAGCCGAAAAATGGAAGTCGTGTAATTTAATAAAGTTTTGTAAAACTACCATATTGTATTAGTTTATTGTTTTGTTGCCCAAATATTATAAGAGTATTAAAATAATGAGATGTGGTTGTATATAAATCAATGTATATCCGTATTCATTCCCGTCCAATACACTTTCTCTACTATGTATTTTAAAACCGTCGCTAGCGGCATCTATTCGCAAGCCGACATCATTGACGTTTCTGTTTTCCAATATAAATATTCGTCTAGCTGTCAGGAAAACATTTCCCTATTAAACAAATGTGTTTATACATATGAAATACCTTCACAGGGTATATCGTTCGTCAATTTTTAAACTTATTAATTGTAATTTTATTAAGATGTAATAAATCATTTGTTAAAACTTTATTTTGAGTCATTTTCATCCTTTCGTTTTGCATTAACAAACTTACTAACAATAGTAAAATTTCAATTATGAATTTTATCTCCAGATTAGTTTCACCCCAACATAATACTTGCTGCACTATATGAGAAAAGAAGGATGCTGTAAAAAAAACTCATGATAATTGTTCAAATATTCATAACCTTCCACAATTAACGAACTTTCTTATGGCATACCTTTAATAAAAGAATGACTTTCTTACTCGCCATAGAGTAAGTTAAGCTGAGTGAATGTCAGTTTGTGCTATATGAAATGTGGTCGATAGTTAATAAGTGAGTCAACAAAAATGAGTACAGGCCTATAGGCATTAGTAAAGTTAGACTTGTAGGGAGTGAAGCTAATGTACCGTGACAGTACCTGTAAAAATGAAATGCGTTGTACCGTGATTATAGTTGTGGGTGTGAAGCTCGATGTACTATAACTACTTGTGGGGTGAAGTTCGATGTACCGTGACTGTACTTGAGGGGTGAAAGTCGATGTACTGTGACTGTATATAGATAATTTCTGAAAGACTGTCCTTTCACCCAGAACTCTATGTAAGAACACTTCTATACTGGATTATAAGTGAGCGTATTGATGTTATTAACCTTTATAACTGGGTAGAATGAAGAAAAAAGGCACCCAACTAAAATAAGAAAAATTCAGCCATAGGCAGAAAAAAAGATGATTTAAGCTAGAATAGTAATGATATTAAGCAGAGACTAGTTAAAAATGTAAACTAGTCACCTAATTTACTGTACAAAAAAATGTAGGCATATATATAATATAATATACAATTATTTATTGTACATGTAGATGTACGCGCCAACAAGTATGTTAATGCACCAACAAAGTTCTAATATAACAATATAAAATTATACCATTTGTACAAAAGGTATCATTTTAAAGTAAAAATGTCTGCGGTTATAGTTCCCAAAAGCATTGGGGATATTCTGTCTTGACATAATCAAGACAACAGATGCAGAGCTAGTCAGCATGTAACCGAAAAAAGGGGATTAGGATCTGGGTGCTAGAACCCATAACATGCCAGATCCCACTATCATTCACCGTTTATAGCCGGTTATGGATATGATTAAACATTCATTCATTATTTATTTTATTTTATTTTTACATTAACTTTGTCTACTGGTACTTAGCCTAGCAAGCTACTTACTGGGAAAAATGTATTAGCTACTTTAAATACTGAGAAAAAAAACTGTTTATAACAGTGCTAGATGCTTAACTTGTCTAGCAACAACAGATTATCAATATTATGTTGATAAAAAAAACAATATGTAAAGTGAACATTGTAATATATCTATTAACATGTGATATATTCGATCTTAAATATGTAGGTCAAACTAGAAATCCTTTACACCTGAGAATTAATTTACATAGGTCGCAAAGGAAAAAAAAGGTGTCTCACACTCAATTGAAATGTACCATTTTAACAGACATGACTTTTCCCATGTTAAAATTACTATCTTAGAAAAGTCCACAATGTTGACATTTTAACAGAAAGGGAAGAGTATTTTATATTAAAAGAAAAAACTTTTTACCCTTATGGTTTAAATCAGGAATATTAAAATAGAACTATTGAGTCTTTAAGTAAATCTAATTGAATTCGACGATTGTTTTATATTGATGTCTACAATAAGAAAAAACTAGAAAATGAGGGAAAGGTAAAAAATATGTAAAATGAATTAATTTCAAAGCATTTTGTAAAAAGTTGGATTCTGTTTATACCAACATTAATAATATTGTTAAATATATTATTAAAATATTTTTGAATTAAATTTCAAAAAAATATTTATCAGACATTGCATATAAGTTGGAATTTTAAAATGTACATATTAAAGATCTTATTTAGAATTTATTTAAATTGGGATATAGTTCCTAATGATAAAAACACTCTAAAGAATAACCTAGAAAAATCATAAATTGTTATAGATTTTAAACATAAAGTGTATGATGCTCTTTTTCTGCGA